TTGAACAACCTCCGGCGCCACGGCAGCAGTTTGCTGATCTCCGGCGATCATCTTGGGTGGAGGATAAAAAGGATTGTTCAAAGCATTATCCCCACCACTGGCGTAAACAACCCTAAAGATATCATATTTGATGTCAAGAGAGAGGCTGCCATCATCAAGGTATGGCAAAACACTGGTTCTATAGTCTTCATTGAGGATGAAGGAGTAACAGCTCTGCAATGATCTCCACACCAGCACCCCGCAAACCTTGCGCATCCTCTCCGACTTCAGGCACACCCCCGCTTTCGCACCGTCCATTTTCAGGAACCTGTACGTCGGAAGTGTGTTACGTCCACGATTCATATCAATCGAATATAGGCTAGATTGCACCGTTAGTCTTTCAAATTAATGCATTATACACAGTTAGTCTTTTATCCCTAAAAATTCCATGAATGGTTCTTCAAACTCACGTTAGCGTTCCATTAACTTTGTTGTTTAATCCATGTATTTTTTTTTTCATTTTTCGTGATAAATACATACGACGAATCCTCATTTGTCATACACTTAAATAAAAGTTAATGTTTGATGCATAATTTTAATTAAAATTGTAATGGAAAAATACTTACTCTGTTTTTTATGAAAAATCAAAATTTGAAACACTTTAGTAAGGAGTGAGCATTAAATAAAATTAGACCAATAAAAGCAATATTAACTTATTATTATTACAAAAGTTAGATTTGTAAAAGTAAGAGTAACTTATTATTAATACAAAAATGAACCTACATGAAGTATGACTTAATTGTATAAAAAAGAGGATTTCTCATGTATTTATAATGGAAAAATACATGGTTTAATGGAAAGACCAACTATGTAAAGCTAATTTGACTTGAAAGACTATTCATAAAATTTTTAAAGTTGAATGACTAACCCTACATAACATATTAACTTGAAGGACTAACGATGCAATTTAACCACCGAAATTATACCAGTGCATTCCAACTCGATCTTTCACACAGATAAAATGAAAGAGAAAAAGACTAAAGTAGGAGTAAAACATTGAAAATATACCAAAATATGACTTTCATATTTTTATTCCCGAAATAGGAGTTAAAATGCATTTATATTAACAAAGGTGATCATGTACATTACAAAAAAGTATAGTAATGTGCACGTGTACAGTGTCACATTACCTCCACATTACCACAGCGCGAACTCCTATTTCGGGAATAAAAGTATGGAAATCCTATTTTAGTATTTTTTTCTATGTTTTAGTTTTATTTGGGGTAATTTTTATTAAAACGGAACGTGTATTTCCTAGTTCCTACCCCTAAATCCCTTATTTTCTCCTATTTGCTAATTGGCTATAGTTTCCCAATCGCCATAATAGAGAGATGTAGCAGGGGTTTTTGCAGGGATTAAGGATTTAAAGAATAAGAACCATTTTCAAGTCCAGGTCATCATGGGTACACCAAACTCACCAATGTGAACTGCTCCCTCCGTCCACAAATAAACTTTACAATGAGTGTTACGATGTTTGACTGAAGTTATTTTCAAATCATTTTATATGAAAAATGGTGTAGAATTGAAAAATAAAAATTACATATTAAAAAACTGTATCAAAAGATCTACAAAACTAGAGGTGACATGACTATATTATTTTATCAAATGGGTGACGAAAATAGGCCAACAAAGTGAATAAAGTTTGACCCTGTGAATAGTGAACGTAAAGTTTATTTGTGGACGGATGGAGTATAAAGAACAGTCCCGTTTTTTTTTTTAAAAAAAAATAAATAGAATGACCTGTCTTTAAAAATGGCAAGGCATGCGTAGGAGAAGTTGTTCATGAGCGCGTTAATGTCGTCTTCGCCGCGGGCTGAGAAGGAGAGGGCATGCAGGGAGACGATATCTCCAGCGTAGAACTTCGCCGCGGGGGTTCCGTCCCTTGTTTGCCCGGCGTATGCGTCATAGAACCCGTATTCTATGAGTTTGGCCATGCTTGAAACATTGCTTAACAACATTGGAAGCTGTGAAATTAAGGAGGAGTTGAAGTTATTACAAGACAAAAAACAGAGATGAGATAACAAATTAAAGGGCATTAGAGTGTGAATGGAGGAATTGGACTTACAAGAGAGGCATTGAGCAAATCTCTCCCATTTTCACATGACCTCTTTATCCATGCTCCATACCATACAATCTATACAAAAGCCAAGGAGCATTAGTTAATACTCTCTAAACCATTTTTACCAAGGGTCATATCTAGACAAATCATTTCTTGAAACCTCTTGGTCAACAAGGCCACATAGGTAAGATTTATTTTTGATCGAGCCTTGCACGTGAACATTAATTTTTTTTTAAACATGACGACAGCAACGTTCGAACTGTGACCTCTAGGCCATGCAAGGTTTTGATACGACATGTGAACAAACCAACTCAACAAAAGGCTCAAACTTGCGATTATCGTAGTCCACGAAAGGTTTTATATTCTAGCGTTGCGATCGTAGACCTTGAAAAGGTGAGACTAGTTTTGGAGAGGCATGTAGTTAAAAAAATGAAGAGAAATGAGAGGGAGGGAGTACAAACAAGATTGCCATGGATGCTTCTAAAAACAGAAGAGTGGATACAGCCAAGGGTGGTCTGAGTGGTGGAGGAGAAGTGCTTGAGATAGTGGAGAAGATCATCAACTATTACTATTGTTGGCCTCAATACAAAGAAGCTCAGATCCAAGTTTCTCCCATTCAATGGTATGAAGCATCCCATTTTTTTATTTGGATAAATAGATAGATAGATAGATAGATTAGATACTTCTTTCTTCTTGTATTGATCAATTATATTGAAAAGATATTAATTATGAATTTAGATACTTCTTTCTTCTTGTATTGATCAATTATATTGAAAAGATATTAATTATGAAAAAGGGGGTATTTAATCTGGTAAATATGAGAGGAGGAGGAGTAGTAGTAGTAGTATGATATTGACCACAAAGTTTGAATTGAAATGTTGGGTTTTCTAAGTTGGGGGAATAATGGAGAAGAGGCATGACTGGAGGATTTTTCTTCGCCACTAGTCCTTGTTTCTCCATGTGTCCCCATGCCACCTGCCCGGTGGCCAATAACCCAAAAAAATCGTTCCCGGGTACGTTCGGTTTAGTGGTAAGAATTCGCAGGTCCCATTGTTTTCCAAGTTGCACACCATCTTTAATTAATGCCTTTACCAACATACATATACAGATACAATATTTTGTATTTGTGTGTAATGTCTATAAAGACATTAGATTCAAATAAAGGTGGTGTGTAATTTGGGGTTCCCCAAGCATGGCTTAAAACTATTTAAGCTAAGAATTATGGCGTGGCGGACAAGGTTTCGAACTTTTGGTTCAGAAACAAAACTGTATTTGGATCCAATATGGGGAGGGGTTCATGGGAACCACACCAGGACCCTGGGGGAAAGGTTCCAATTCCTCTCTTTTTGGAATCCAAATTGAACATTTTAATTTCTGGTTCCGGTTCCATTTTTAAGGAGAATTTTTTAGTCACTCGCAAACGTTGGTTCATAATATCTACAAACAAAAAAATATAGTCAAAAACATATATGACCTCCGTCCCAAAAAATTAAAAAGGGGGAGTTCAATTTACATTGTTTGGCTGGAATTATCTTTAATTTAATTTTTTTTTAGAAATTGTATAGAAATAAACATTAAAAAATACTACGTATATACCAAAGAAAAAAATAGATAACATGACTTTATTATTTAATCAAATGAGTAAGAAAATAACAAAAAAAATACGTAAAGTTTCACTATGTAATACTCTCTCCGTCCCTAAATAGATTACAATTTTTTTTTCTCTCCTCTCGATAAATTTTGTTTGTTTACGCGATTTCATCAATTTGGGGACGGAGGGAGTAGTAACTATTGCTTTTATTTTAGGACAGACAGATTACCACCCATAACTTGTTTTGATTAAAGTTCCGCCTTGCAAAATTAAAATTCTGGTCCAAAATGAGAACCGGGTCTATGCTTACTCACGATTTTGCTATGGTATGATGACATTTATGAGGTAAGGTCAATGCGAGGGTACGGGAGACAAATCTTAACTACTTTTTTTCTTCAAGACTTTTTAAAATTACATGAAATCAAACTAGGACAATTAATTTGGAACGGATAGACTACAACATTGTACCCCTAGATTATTTGTTCTAAGAGAGTAAACTACATAAATTAATTACTCCCTCCGTCCCAAATTATAATACCTGTTTACTATTCACAGGGTCAAACTTTATTCACTTTCTTTCTCTATTTTCGTTAGCAATTTGATAAAATAAAATATTATTGTCACTACTAGTTTTGTAGATCTTTTGATGTAGTTTTTTAATATGTAATTTTTATTTTTTAATTCTATACCATTTGTCATATAAAATGGTTTGAAAATAATTTCAGTCAAACATCATAAACCGAAACAGGCGTTATAAATTGGGACGGGGTAGTACTATTATGTGTTTCCTTCCACCCCATCTATTTGTACTGTTACACATTAAGTACTACTCTAATATACTCCCTCTATTCCAAATGAAATTACCTATTTTGATTTACGATGTTGGATTGAAATTATTTTTTAAATTTATTTTGTTTGAGAATTGAGGTGAAATTAAAAAATAAAAGTTACATATTTAAAATCAACATAAAAAGTTATTCAAAAGTTACAGAGTATCAAATGAATAACGAAGATTGGTAAAGAAAGTAAATAAAATTTGAGCATGTGAATAGCAAACAAACAACTTAAATTGGGATGGGGGAGGATTCACAAATGGTAGTGTAACACATACTCCGTATTTATTCAATTGTTCATAAAACTACCAGAAAAAATATGCACTCGTATTGTACAAATTTTTATATCACCTATAGCAGGAGTTGAAAGAGCTCATGGCAGAAATCAAATATAGCTAGAACAGATANGGAAAACGAGAAGACATCACTCAAAAGAGTACTACTAGCAAAGACAGGGAAGAAAGACATGCAATCTCTTCCTCTGATTGTCTCTTTGTTTCCTCGTCACCATTTTTCTATATTTGCGTACAGTCCCAAATCAGGATTCACAATACTGGTACAACAATGGACATCCAACTTCATGGTTTATGCTGGTGAATGTTTTGAAACAAAAATGGGTGGGGGGGAGGGCTCAAATGAGCGATCTGAACTTCACGGTTTATGGTAAATCTGCAAGAAAACTTCAAAAAGAGGATGCTATCAGACAGAGATCACTCGCATGAAACCTGTTTATTTATCGAAAAATACAAGGTCTCTTCCATCAGTGATCACATGAGATACTTTTCATGGGAAAGATCATGGCGTGTGCATGACTAGTATGTTTTTTTTACCGGCTAAAGTCCCTGTTGCTCTAAAATTTTAGAGAGTTCTAGACCATTTGAACAAATAACTAACACAGTACCTAACTTCCTGATACGAACTCGTATCGGATAGGGAAGACTCAGAGCGTCTTCGAGCTCTTTGAGAATATAGGACGAGGAAGAAGAAGATGAATTGAGGCGAAGGAGGGAATCGGCGAACCGAGAGGGGGAAGAAATTAGGGTTTTGAGTTGTTTATTGATTGAATAACTCTAAAGGAAACCCTAACGCTAACCTGACGGTTCAATAAAGCGACGAGGGAAAGAACCGTAAAGAAACCTCAAAGGAGCTTATAATTCCGCTCACCTAATAAAATCTACATTACAATAATAATAATAATAATAATAATAACAATAATAATAATAATAAACTAATAAATATATGATCAGATATCCTACTATATAATCCATAACACTTCCCCTTGGGTAAATATGGCAAGCAATGCTCTAGGTCGGACTAAAAACTAAAAAATGATCCTCTCATAAAGTTCAATTCTATAAATGTTTAGAAAAAAAATTAATGCCTCGAAAACATATACGTAGTATATGCTCAATCTAATGTTCTAAATCCCATTTTAACCCTGTCTCTTTCAAATAACTTTTTACACAATTTTGCATGTAAGATACTGAATAAGTATATGCATTAAGAAATAAGATTCAATATCAAAATAGAGATTTACCTTAAATTTATTTTCTTTTGTTTGGCTTTACCCGAGAAAAAAGTTAAAGAAATAAATTTATTAGTGTTATGTTTGGGAACTTGAATTTGGATTTCAAATCCAGATTTGATCCAAAATTCTTGTTTGGGAATTCAAAAAACTTGGATTTGGATTTCGACTAAATTCTTCTAATACAAAACAAACACAATTACAACATCTCCCAACTGTCATTTACAAATCCAATACTAACTCTCCTAAAAATTACAACTTACAATCAAAAAGTCATAATCTGTTATGCAACAAGAACTCCAAACATAACATGCTTCTGTCTCAATCTTTGCCAACTTCAAAATTCAAGTTCTAGAATTGAAATTCTATTGTTTCCCAAACATTTGGAATTTGAAACCATGGAATTTCAAATATTGGAATTAAAATCTAAGATTTCAAATGAATTCTACTATTCTACTTCCCAAACATTACCTAAGATCAATTGCTAAAATTTTCTTTTCCATTTTTCTGCCATGCACCACATGCTCATTAAGCCTCAATGCTACCCAGATCCAGCGGCTCGAGTCAGGTTTTAAAGCTTGGAATGACCAAAAACACCTAAAGCCCGACCAAATAAAAAATATCAGGTTGGCCTAACCCGGGTTTCGGGTTTTGTGCTATGTTATCCGAACCTTACTTTAATTCAAGTCATTTTCAGTCTACCCAGCTTCTCTCTAGTCTTCCACACTCCAAGACTCGTCCACTCTTTGTACACGGACACCTACTTCTTGATGACTATTGTGCTCGAACCAATGTAATTGATCCTCTGTTACTTTATTTTCAATAATGGCTACATGCCAACACCCGCCTTCCCTTGAATTTCCTCGTTGAGCACTCTATCTCTTCAAGTCATACCACAAATGCATTCTAACATACAGAATTACATTGGTCCCACCCATTTTCCGACTTTTTAGTGATCCTGTATGTTCTCTTTCCTATTTTTATCCCTAGAAATTTTTGGGTTCCAGAGATTCTAATGTGATGAGCAGATGGAAATTTGAATTTCCTCGTTGAGCACTCTATCTCTTCAAGTCATACCACAAATGCATTCTAACATACAGAATTACATTGGTCCCACCCAATTTCCGACTTTTTAGTGATCCTGTATGTTCTCTTTCTTATTTTTATCCCTAGAAATTTTTGGGTTCCAGAGATTCTAATGTGATGAGCAGATGGAAATGGAAATGCTAACCTGAAAATGAGAATATAGGGAAAAGATGCTCACTTGTTCAATGATACAGAGTAGCTCTTTATAGTTCAATGGGCACCCTTAACCCATCATATGCCAACTGAACTTGTATTCCTTCCCTGGAAACAAAATTACAGGATAAAGTTTCAAATCCAGGTTCTTGAGAGTCCAATTGGAACGTATAAAATACAAGATATAGAAAATCACATGGAAAATAAAGAGGGAAATAAGAAATGGGAAGGAAAGAAATCTTTTGGGGGAATAAAAAATAAACACAAACTCAAGAAAAACATTTTAGATTTATTCAAACTCATTTTATTTTTCTATCATATAAAGATTAATTAATATAAATATATGAAAAAAAATGAAAATTAACTTTTCTTTGCAGTTTCTATCCTTTCTCTAACATTTTCTGTGATCCAACAATACCCTAACAGTGAGAAGAAATCTTAAGAAGTTCTACCTTTTGGACCATTCCATTAGGAACGTGTTGTCTTTGAGATGATCAAAGTCATGTGTCATCCCTATTAACAAGGCCCTCTTTGGGCATAGTCTTTTAATAGCTTCAAGGGTCTACAAAGAGAACATTTTGCACTCATTACAAATTTACAATGTAAGCTATTAGAGTATTTTTAATACAGATTACGGAGTATTAAGAATACAAACAAAAGACATGTACAAGGTATGTGAACCTGAGGGAAGCACAGGTGAACATTGTGGGACCCTGTCTGCAGAAATTGAAGAAAAATGCCCTTAAATTAAATTGATAGAGGGATAGGAATAGTGCAAAAAAAACAAGTAAAAACCAGGAAAAATAGAAATGTGAAGAAAATTTGAAATTTTTGTTTGAAGTCAAAATATGGCTGCAGGGCTCACCTTGTAAAGGTTATCCAAGATAAGCAGATCCAACTGCTGACAGCTATCTCTTGAGATATCTGTAAAATTATTTATTCAACCTCATTCATCCAATGTTCCTCCATAAGAAGGAAACTTTAGCGCTGACTTATTTTATTTTTTGCAAAAATGTGTAGTGTTGGCTAATGTTTTAAATTTCTTTGACACTAAATTTCATGGCACCCACCCCATTAGTTAGGATTAAGGTGTTCGTCATGATGACTGATGATGAAGATTGGATTTTGTTTAAAGATAAACATTGCTTGAAGAGCAAGAGTTAGACAGAGTTAAAATACTCACAAAACTCTGTACTTGGAAGAAAGCGTGAGACATCAGATATATATGCAACTCTACATTTTCCACCAAAAAGAAAGCCTAAGCATACATAGTCTTCCCCATGCATCACCTAGATCAGAAAATATGCATTTAAAACAAGACAAGAAAAAATGATTAAAGTATGGTGAAATTCTACATTTTCCACCAAAAAGAAAGCCTAAGCATACATAGTCTTCCCCATGCATCACCTAGATCAGAAAATATGCATTTAAAACAAGACAAGAAAAAATGATTAAAGTATGGTGAAATTGTAAAGGAGAAAACTAACTGGAAGTGGAATAAATTCTAGTCCCGATGCAACAAATGGCTTCTTACAATCATTCTCAATAATCTGCCAATCAAGTTGTGCTACACGCCTAACTTCCTGACCAGCCTTGAGTTTCTTTTGAACCAAGTATGGGAACTTCACAGCAAGACTGTTCAGAAAAGGATATCAAAATGAGAGTCGAGCAAAGATTCCATTATTCCAAGTAATTAAAAGTGAAACAGATGTAACAATGTGCAACAAGAGGTTAATTTAGTTGATAATATCTCTTCAAAAGAAAAGAGAATGCCACCTTGCCACTTTGTATGCACTATAGTTTGCTCACATACTCGAATATGAACACTACAAGTCAAAGTTCTTCAATTTTATCTTCTTTCACAAGGAAATATTTCCTATTCAGTAACCATGGACTTCTGCTTAAGTATTAGGAATATATTTTGTAAAGTTACAAATCAATAACCAAAATTCAAGTACTACAGGCAATTGATAGAACTCTTTTGCAATACCTTAAATATATTTTCCTTGTACGTAGAAGAAAGTGACACGTTGATGTAAAAATTTGCCCAAGGGCTGGTCCTAGACCGAAGGAAAAGCGTACAATCAGTAGTAAACTGCAGATTTGTAAGTCCAATAACTCGAACCAAATTGATCCCTATTCCGCCTGGCCCTTTCACATGCCGTACTTTTCTCATTTTTCACTCAAATAGCTCCATTTTGAGCAGAACAAACCCTAATACCTCCCCCAGAATTTGATACCACATCCCCCCCCTTCATCCTGGTGTTTAGGGCCTGTTTTTGAGAACTTCAGTGGTGAAGGCAAAGTAAAGAGTGTCAATTAGTCATCACCTCATCCCATAGCTAACAGTGATTCCTCTGGGATAGCAATTCCAATCATTTTTGAACATTTGAAACAACAATTGCAAATCTTTCAGTGTATTTTTTTTCTTGTTTATGTGTTATCTACTTATCTGTAAGTAATCATTAGTATCTTGAATAACCAGATATATAATTTGTATTTTAAATTGATATTAATAACTACAATATAGGATGTGTCTGCCGTTTTCTCAATGTGACAGCATCTGTCCCCACTACTCGGAACCTGGCACATCAGTGTCGTGCAATCTAGTGGCAGACTGGCCGTAAGGGATGAGATAGTTGGCTCCCATCCACTACGCCAACAGATACCTTATTTCTAAACAGTGCCATGCATCAAAGCTCCAAGGTTAAGGATTATACCTATCCATCGCATGTTGATTGAGATAAATTGGTGTAGGATCAATCTCATTTGTTGGACTAAATGGTTGAACTGCACGTATATCATCCAAACCAAGAACTGCATCAGCATGCTCGTGAGTCAAAATTATCTGAGAATAGAACATCTGTCAGCTACTACTTGCATTTTGATTCCTAATATTCACAGAATCAACACAAAACTAAAAATTTTTAAATTGTCAAATGATGGGTCCGACATTAAAGCAATTTATTTTACTATAAACATAAATCTAAAAATTTATATACATAACATTTTCAATTTTTAATGGCAAATTAGTAACAATAAAAACTAAAAGCACTAAATTCTTTGCAAATTAGAAAGAATAAAATGTTATGATTAAAAATTATAAATGAATAGTAACAAATAAAAGAAGAAGAGGAGGCTCAAGGGGAGGTGCACACAGATGAACGCGATGAAGACCAAAGAGGAGACTGGATGCATTGATAGACTAGGGTAGTAGGGTTCGGTAATTTAATATTTAATTTTTCTAATTAAATTACTAATTTAACCTTAATCTTCTTTTTTCCTTTTTCTTTTTTTGAAAAAATGGGGTACGCCTCATTGCGTAAGCTTCATGGCGTACATCTCATTGCGTAAGCCTCATGCCCCATAGCTGAGAACCCATATGGCCGATGGCTAGATCGCCACAAGGCATTTTTCTCCGAAAATAGACATGTGGCGGGCAATATGGTGTATTGCACAATGCCATCTCAAGCATTGTGCTCAATAACTCTGGTGCTAGAGTACATATTACATTAGACACGTTAACTAGTACAGACGATAACATATTCAAGCATCAAAGTTTTAGATAGTTAGTGAGTTATTGCATAAAATTTATTTCTTCTTTCCACAATGGCCCAAGATTTCATTTATCTGTTACTACATTGCACCCTTTATAAATAAAAACTGGTACAGTGCATTTCATTTATTAATGGAAACACATATCAGATTATCCCTCAAAAATAAAATGAAAATAACACATAGAACTTACTGAATCAACCCGAGGAATTTTATGACGAGGGAACCAGCGAAGCACTTGTTCCCTGAAAGTCTTCCCAACATCAATTAGTATATACTTGTGCTCACCATTCCCTAAAGAATAATCAATCAAAAGTGATGTATTGCATCTGCAAATCAAGCACAACACAACCACATTAGCTGTCACCAAACACACAAAAACGTAACACACAAAACTCATAACAGCTTACAATCTGAATTAAAACGCTCAAATGCGATGTTCGGATCTATTTCCTTGAAATGTTCATAAGCACAGATATAAAGTAATAGATTGAAGAGATCACCTGTAATTAGGGTTCTGTTCAGGTGGAATGGAGAGCGATTGGGAGCAGACCGGGCAAGGAGGATCGGAGGGTCGGATCAAGCAGAGAGCATTAGGAACGGCGCTGGAACAGCCGGTGCCAAGGAAGATCAGAGCTGATTGCGGCTCTGAGCCGCCATTTTCTCCGGCGATAGCGGTGGTGGTAGCCATCTTCGGTTAGGAACTTAATTTGCACCGTAATGCCTTAAGTTTGAAGGAAATAAAACGGTAATCCACCGCATTTGAACATGTGGAAAAGACACCAAAATATGGACTTTTTTGGCATGACACATTACATACAAAAAAAAGTTTTATTAGATTTATTATATCAAATATTTTCAAAATATTATTTTATTTGATTAAAATACAATATATATTTTATTTAATTATAGGTCAAAGGTTAAAAACAGTTGACTGAAAAAAGTTAAAATTGGACAAATACTTAGAGACGGAGGTAGTAAATATTATAGATTGGTTGAGTTTAAAAAAATAAAAGATTTTTATGTGGCTCATTAAAAACGTGAAAAGATTCACACTTCACGTATGAACGTTAGAATCATTGAAACACAACCTTTATGAAAGGTGTTTTATTATATACTCCCCCCGGTTGAGGGAGCAAATGAATGATATATAAGGATAGAGGAAGTTACATATCTAGAGAATGTTTGGCAGTGCGATACTTTTAAAAATTTAACTTCCCCCTTGAGTGGAAGTGATTTTACTTTTTTAAAAAATGTCAGTTTCTACTTTGTTCACCACTATTTTGTACATACAACATCGTTTTGGAGAAACAATTATGATATGTTTTTACTCTCAGCTTTTGTGGAAATCATTTTATTCACAAGTTAATCACTCCCAAACACCTTCTTAGAGTATTTGGGGGTGCATTCAAAAATTATTTATAGCTTCCACTTTACTAAAGCACAATTTAAATGGTTTGACAATCTGCTTAGATTATGAATTATGACTTTAGAAGTAGAAATTAAAGTTTAGAAGTGATTTTCAACAAAACTAAAAATAACTAGTTCCTACTTCTAATTTATGACTTCTACCTTTTCATTACTTACCGCACTATCAAACAACCTCATCATGGAAGAAGGTAGCAAGTTACACGTCCAACAATAATGTTTCCGTTGCACGTTACGATGTTTGACTGAAATTATTTTCAAATTATTTTATATGAAAAATGATATGGAAGTAAAAAAATTACTCCCTCCGTCCCAAAAATATCTTCTTGTTTCATTTTTTTGCGCGTCTCATAAAACACTTCTATCCCGCCTCAAATGCAAAAAAAACTTTCAAAACAACTTCTACTTACAATAAATGAGAAATGCGGTAAATATTAGACATTTTAGATGTGTATAGAAGTGTTTTATAGGATGCGCAAAAAATGAAACAGGAAGATCTTTTTGGGACGGAGGGAGTACATATTTAAAAACTAAATAAAAAATCTATAAAATTAGAGGTGACATGACTATATTATTTTAATAAATAGACAACAAAAATAGTCAAATAGACCAACAATATAAATAAAGTTTGACGTTATGAATACGAAAACATTATTGTTCGAGGAGGAGTATTATACTGGAAAAGAATTGAAAGTTATATAACGGGGTCCAATATTTGAAATGTGGATGTTAAGTGAGGAGGTGTACGAAGAGGGTGTAGGCAAAAGTGCAAAACCCCAATATCTCTAGGCCTAATTGGTGTTAAAAAAATTGTATATTTAAAAATTATATCAAAATTTTCATAAAATAAGGAATGACATGAGTCACATGACTATACCATATTACCATTTGATTAAATTATCAATGAACAGATATATTAAAAAAAAGATATAGTCTAGCACACTAATTAATAACTGTGACGTTTGAAAGAAAATAAAATAATAACTATGACTTTTCTTTAATTTTAAAACTAAGAGGCTATGTTAGAGATGAGAGGCGTATTTGAGACCGGGGGAGTATAGATGATACTCCATTTATCCTAAAGTAAATTTTTTATATTTTCAATTTGAGTTGTTTCAAAAATTCTCATAAAAGAGATTTATTGAGAACTGTTAAGAACAAAAGCACACACACGAATATAAAGCAAGAAAGCGATAAAGAACACGAGATTTAACGTGGTTCGGTCTAATCTGACCTACATCCACAGGGGCAACTAGGGTTTGTATTATTGAGTGATGATGATTACAAGTACAGGAGATCATATATATAGACAACTAATTAGGGTTTAACCCTTGCTGGACAAGTTATAGCAAACTGGGCTTAAAACCATTTGGGCCGGCCAAAACCCTAATCTGGTCTCCTAACTCTCAGTTGTCTACAAGTGGGCCACTTTGGGCCGATGACTACACATCACCAACAATCTCCCACTTGGAGTCTTTGGACCAAACTGCGGCTTCTCTCTGTACTTCTGTAAATAAAAGATCCTCCTTGATCTTCACATCTCCCTAGTTGCCCCTCTCCTCAACACTATTCCAGGAAACCAGCTGAAGCTATGCAAAGCTTCAGCTTATCCAGCACCACTGTCTTGGTGAACATATCTGCTGGATTCTTAGCACCTGAGATGTTCTTCAACTTGATTGTTCTATTACTGATCAATCCCCTCACAAAGTGATACCTCATCCCGATGTGCTTTGTCTTGCCATGATAAACAGGATTTTTAGCAAGTTTCACTGCACTCTCATTGTCACAGTACAATAAGTAATCAGACTG